ACAAAAACTTGGGTCAAACGGATTGACTCTCATGTCTAACATTCACTGTACATGTTAGCTTATTAGAGATTCTTGTAAAGCATCAGTGTGGTTGTGTAGTTACCTGCAAGAAAGAAAATATCAAAAATGCTGTAAATATATGCATGCTATTTAACATTACAGGAATTGTTCTGTAGTTCAGAGCATATCCTAGCTTTCTATAAACGCAAGATAAAGTGGCCTAAAAATGTATTTTGACATTATGTCACATAACTGGATAAGAACGTGAAAGAAAATGATTTTTTTAATACACATCTGTCATCTGGAAAGCACATTTGACAGCCAGAAAGTTCTACACAAATGAGTTTGTTAGTTTTGAAGTTGTATACAACTCAAATTCAGTACAAATAGATGCGTATTCTGACACCCAATAATGACTTTACTAAAGATCAGAGATGGAACTTTTGGTTTTATTGCTTTCTGTCGGTTAGCTTGTAGAGCAACTTGACAACATTTGAGTGTGGACCCAACCAGTCTCTGTGACAGTTTTGGCGACAGCTATTAACAGATTTTTGTTCTCCATGACATTTTTTTAATCTATTTTTTAGCAGCCACAGTAAGTGGAGAAATTTAGTTTGGATCATTTATGTAGTGTAGGAGGTTTTACTAAATGAGTGACTCGAACATTTTGGATCAACATCCTGCTGAATGAACGTGTAACCTTTTTTGGGGGGTATATTTCTTTAAGCGTGATTCTAAAATATATGACTTGAGAGTTTGTGATTCCATCTTTATATGCACGTTCACCTGCCACATTGTAAGAAAAAGAAAGTAAGACACTGATGTTTGCACCTCTGTGTTTTTCCCTCCATCCATCCATCTTCTTCTGCTTATCCAGTGTGCATTTATTCCTAGCAATCTTCTTTGGGTTCCTTCTCTCTCCATAGGACCAACAATTATCTACTGAGTTGTATCTGGTAACTATTACTGAAGTAACAACAAGCATTGCATTTCTGCATTTCACTCCTCCTTTTTTCTTCAATCCTCCACCCAGCCAGCACCTATCAAATAGCAGCTTTCTTTTTGAAAAAATGGAATGCATTTTTCTTGTGTATGAACTTGTGTATACATTTATATAACCTTACCCACCTATTATCAAGTTTATTATAAAAATTATTAAAATTAAAGATTAGACAGAGCACCACATTACTTGATGCAAAACTGTCTCTGTGTTTTGCTTAGATTCGTCCTATTGGCCTTCACCTGCAGGACGAGTTTTCACAGTGGAGGCCACGGCTTACGCTCTATTGGCTCTTGTTAGGGCCAAGGTAAGTATCTGTGTCACAGAGCAGTACATGTAGCTAAAGTTTACATGTAATAGAAGATTGAGCTGCCAGGCAGGAGGAAATGAGGAAGACCACAGAGAAGATAATAGATGTAGTGTAGGAGGATATGCAGAGGTCTGTGGAAATCATGCTTATTATATAACAGCTTTGATAAGATTTTCTATATTTAACTAAAATAAGACAAATACACTGTATTTCAACCCTTTTCTTCCATTAAAGGCCTTTGATGAAGCAAGACCAATTGTCCGATGGTTCAACAAACAGATCAGAGAGAATGGAGGCTATGGGTCAGCTCAGGTAAAGAAGACATCTTAATATCCTCATGTACTGATCCATTGATGAAGTTAATCTTGCTCTGGCCACAAATTATTGATCACTGATCATTTTTCTCCCCAGGCCACAATGACAGTGTACCAGGCAATAGCAGAGTACTGGACCAGTGAAAAAGAGCCAGAGTACGATCTGAATGTGGACATCTTGTTGCCGGGGAGGTCAAAGCCTGATAAATACAACTTTAACTGGGAAAACCACTTTGCTACAAGAACATCTAAAGTGAGAAAGTGTTCTTTTTCACATAAGCAAATACACAGCATCTCTGTTCCTTCTGCTTGCTATGTGTTGATTTCTGCATCCCTGACAGATCAACGTCATAAACCAAGACGTGAAAGTGTCAGCCACAGGACCGGGAGAAGCAACACTGACGGTAAGTAAAATGCAATGTTTTGGTTGTTTATTTGTTGTTTATTTGTTTCCTTGTGTTTGAATTTGCTGTAAGCTCCTGTTGTCTGTATCACAGATAACGTCGCTGTATTATGAACTGCCGAAAGAAAAAGAAAACAACTGTCAGAAATTTAACCTGTCAGTGCAGCTCCTTCCAGGTAATTTGCTGCCCTCTGTCGGTTTATCCATCTTAAGATAACTGTACACATTTTTTTGACTATCTATGTGAGGTCATTTTCTTACTTTAATTTGATTTTTTCCGAGCTTTTTAAAAAATAAATACTGTAAATCAGATTTAAAGTCTTCCATTGCTTTGCCTCTGCAGAGTCGCTGGGTGATGATGAAAATATCTACAACCTAAAAATTAAGGTTTTGTAAGTAGACAAAAAATAAATATATATATATTTCATTGAACTTTTCAAATGATTTGATTTCCGTTAAAGGTTTTAACAATATTATATATTATTCCCACCAACAAATGAACAACCTTGAGCTCACACTTGGAAAAATTGTGAAATGAAGTCACCAGGCAGAAAAACACCTGTAGCGACCACGCACGGGGCGATCTGCACTAACTCGCTAACTGAGATTTGCCCCGTTAATGCAGTTATGCTGTTAACGTCATTTTAACAAGATTAGCGCTGACAGCACTAAAAATTTGATTTAAAACATTTCTCTCAAAGCTCTTGTTTAGAGCTATACAGATTTGTAACTTTTGTGTCTTTTACTGCTGATAAAGAAATTGTTCTTGCCTTTTCATTCTTTGATTACTTATTCTCCCTGTTCTGTTTACAGCTATAAGAACAAGGAGCGTAATGCAACCACACCAGTCTTGGATATAGGCATGCTAACTGGCTTCACTGTTAGCACAAAAGATCTGGATTTAGTAAGAAAAATAAACACAAATGGGCTCAAATTGTTCAGAATTCAGTATTTCTAATTAAGGAGGCATCTTTAAATTTTGAACCGTGGATGTGTGTGTTTCATTGCAGCAAGCCAAAGGGCATGCCCGCACTATTTCAAAATACAGGCTGAACACTGAGTCAGAGAGAAGCTTGCTCACCATTTACCTGAACAAAGTAAGCTATCAGTGTTCCCCCTCTCTCTACTCTTTCTCTTTTGACCTGTGCTCGCATCAATTTTCATCAAATTTTTAATTCCTTTTCATAACGTCTCTCCTCTAGGTTCCTTACACAGAGCTGGAGATTGCCTTTAGGGTCCACCAGAAACTGAAAGTGGGCATCTTACAACCAGCTTCTGTATATGTCTACGAATTCAGCGACCAGCTACAAAGTGATCGTGAGTTTGGCATCTTGGAATCATTTTTTGAGCGTAAAGGATTCGTCTTTGCTTCCAGTAGATTTCATTTCATGTGGTTGGGTGCAATATTACATTTTTAAATGTACTACAATGGTGCAAAAACATCTTTATTTGTCAATGCAGAAACAAAATGTGTGAGATTCTATCATCCGGAAAGGAAAGCTGGAGAGCTGCTGCGCCTCTGTAGAAATGATGAATGCATATGTGCTGAAGGTAAGCAGGAGATGATGCATTTTTTAACCTCTGAAATTCTTTATTAAACATTTTTGGTATACAAAGGTTAGAACAGGTAGATTGTACACAATACTTGGAACTTTTTTTTTTTTTACCATATCAGTACTTTAGACACTCCGTGACAAATACACCTGTGTGATTCAATCGCATCAATGTGGCCAAAATCTTTGAGGAATGTTTCCAGCAACTTGTTGAATATGTTTTGTGACGAGTTGTGGAGGCAACCTGATACTAGCAAGATGTAATGACGTGACTGCTGGGTGTATATTGTAGTTGCTAGTTAGTTTTTGGTAATGTAATTGACCCAGGAGATGTATGATTCTATTGTTTAATAGGAGCTCATCTGTCAGTCAAATGCAGATAACACGAACACAGCTCTAACATATTTAAAATGTGACTTAGATCCATGCAGCCATCACCACTCCACAAAATTCCACATAATCTCATTTAGTTCCTTTATCCCTTTGTGCCTGTTGTATATTTCCAGAGAATTGTAGTATGCAGAAGAAGGGAAAAATCAACAATGATGAACGCAAAGATAAGATTTGTGAGACTACAGTGAGGAGCAAAATAGATTTTGGTAAGTTTGTTTTTAATAAATATGGAATAAATACTCTAAGGAACAGCATAGGTGAGCTAACAGTCTACAACCTGTTTGTCCTCAGCATACAAAGTGAGCGTGGAACAGTTTAAAGATGGTTTGTCCACAGACATTTACACAGTGCAGGTGCTGGAAGTCATCAAAGAAGGTAGGTTGATTTTATTTAAACCCGTGACAGAACCAAAAATGTTTGCGATATGTATGGTTTCCCTATCTGATCCCCTATAAATGATACCAAATATCTTCTTTGTCTGAATTTAAGACATTTTCAGCCATCATTCTTTTCAAATATTTGGCTGAGAATTTCTCAGAATTAAAATGCCACCTAATTTTTCATAGCTGAGCTTCTTCTTAATATGTGAATTTTAAAGGAATCACAATTAAGTACGATTTAGATTCATTTTCTGGGCTCTGACCAATAATTCTTCCCAAACTGCCTACTTATGTGCTTGTTTGTTTGTTTTCAGGTAGTTTGCAATCTTTCAGAAGTGATGATTAGAGCTACAAATAATACAGATAAAATGTAAAAATTTCCTTTATGTGTTATTTGCATTTGTTCTTCTATGTATTGATTACAGGAAGTTATGATGTGGGTCCTCAGGGTAGACAGCGCATGTTCCTAGGTTATCCACACTGCAGAATGGCTTTAGATCTGGGAGTGGGCAAAACCTTCCTTATGATGGGAACATCTGGAGATATTTTCAAAGATGAAAAGAGTCAATCGTAAGTTGTTGTTTTTTCTTCTTGTGATATTGGGAGTATTCATAGATTTGTAAGATTTTTTTCTGTTTTTCACTTTCAAATTAGGTATCAGTATGTCCTTGGTGAGAGAACCTGGATTGAGTACTGGCCTACAGTAACAGAATGTACAACTGAGGAACATAACATAACCTGTTTAGCCATTAACGAGATGGTCAATGAATACATGATCCGAGGATGTCGAAATTAGGGAAACTGAAGAGAATAAAAATAATCTATAAATGCTTTTTAAAGGTTGAGTAAGACACTTCTTAAAAAAAGGCAAACAAAAACCTGCATTAGCAACACAGAGAATTAGGCTAGCTTTCCGAAGGAGAAAATAAAGAAAAAATCATAAACTGTATATTAAAGACAGACTTCCAGGTTTGTAGTGAGGCCAGTGAGGAAGTGTCTTAAACGTGCATTCTTCCACCATATCCCAAATGTCCCTTGATGGACTGAGACAGAGAGACAGAAAGATGAAGACAGCCAAGAATAGAACTGGTCGACTGTAAGGAGATAATAGGTGAATTTTTCAAGTAGTATACAGAAAAATAATCACTTACTCCACATTTGAATTACATTTTGAAAAAATACAGTGTAAATGGTACCTATATTTGGATGAACACGTAAGAATCATTTGTAAAACATCATGTAACATCATGTGTACGAAGGTGGTTAATAGATAGTTAATAATAACAAAAATAAAATGTCAGCATGTTTACCCATGTAACAACAAATAAAATTATATAACCTGAGTTATATCTGCACTACTTGTCCTTTTTAAAAAATATTTAATTTATATCGTGCTTTTTTTCCTTCCTCAAAACTTAGGTTACAATGGCAATGTATGCACTGTGAACTGTGCGAGAACAGGTTGCCGTCATATTTGATCTTAGTGGCTGCAATTGTGTTTGATAAGCCAACATAGTCACAGTGGAAAATGTTGAGAATCACACTGTAACGCACTGGTTTTCAGCACTGAATAATGCTCTGTGGAAATACTGC